AATATTATTTGTCCAAACCTAATTACGAAGCATGATTCTTCGCCAAATAGGATTCCGAAGCACCAGAAGCAACCACGTAGGCTCAGCGCATTCTGGAATTATATATAGTGAGGATGAGGATGAGGATACCATACTATGACATGCAAAATTTTTATACTTATAATATTTTGAAGTACGTTATTTGAGTATTAAAGTGTTTATTTTATTATAAAAAAATGTGAACGTCTAACAACTAAACAAACTAACAACATTACTATTAACTTTTGAAGTTGCTAAAATTTCAAATTTAATTCCATGAAATTCCATCACCTTGTAATCCAAATTTTAGACAATTACAAGTAATTTTAAAACCACTTAACATAAATCAATCATTTAATGTTGAGGATACTAAAAGTTACTATTAATGTTTTGTAAAATTAGCTGATAAGCTAGCTTATAGCTTATTTAATTTTTTAGCTTATAACTTATAGCTGAAAAACTAGCTTATATGTTAAAAGTGTTTGGTAAAATTAGATGATAAGCTAACTGGAATAAAAATTTTAACTAGCTTATTTGAAAAGCTACCTAAAGAAGCTTATCAAATAAGCTCTAGGTTTTAAAAGATCTCGTCCTACCAAACAATGCTTATTTAAATACAAAGAGTTTATAAGCTAACGAAATAAGCTATAAACTAACTTATTTGTCTACCAAACATAGCTTAACTTGAAGATTCTACAATTTATAAAACTAAATATTACAAAATGGAGGACAACCAATTTTTAAGTAGAGCTATTGAGAAATTATATCATACATGGATGGATCTTAGGCCCATTATGGGATTAAACCCACTTATGGCCCACGCGTTTCTATAAGTCCCTGTCTTAAACCCTGCTCTCTGAAAAAACTCATTTGGCAACCGCAGGGGAAGGCGAAAAAGCTTAAGCAAAGGCTAGGGTTTAAGGAAAAGCTCTCAGGTTTCATTTTCGACGTCCCTTTTGTAATCCCATATATTTTTTTCTCACTTTTTTATTAATTAGTGTTTTTTGTTCGGAAAAGTGACGTGATAAACGGGCCATCTCTGAAAAGGGAAATGTTGAAAGGATTTTTTTTATGGTTTGAGATTTTAGCTCAAAAAGTTGAGTTCTTTGTTAAAATTTTGCAGTCTAAAGATTCGGGTAATCAATCGCCTTTTTCTGGAGTTGTGGGGAATTAGCGACTTTAGGAATCTGCTTATTTTGATGTGTTTCGAGCTCAAGATATGGGCTATGGCCTCTGCTTATTTTGATGTGTTTCGAGCTCAAGATATGGGCTATGGCCTCTGCTTATTTTGATGTGTTTTGAGCTCAAGATATGGGCTATGGCCTCCCCTTGGTAGTTCACGAATACGTTTCTAGCAATAAGAATTTCCTTTTTTATTTTGGAGACGGAAAATGTCGGGCCATCTCTGAAAAGGGAAATGTTGAAAGGAATTTTGTTATGGTTTGAGATTTTAGCTCAAAAGGTTGAGTTCTTTGTTAAAATTTTGCAATTTAAAGATTCGGGTAATCAATCGCCTTTTCTGGATATGTGGGGAATTAGTGACTTTAGGAATCTGCTTATTTTGGTGTGTTTTGAGCTCAAGATATGGGGGGCTATGGCCTCCCCTTGGTAGTTCATGAATACGTTTCTAGCATTAAGAATTTGCTTTTTGATTTTGGAGACGGACAATGTCGGATTTTGATTTTCACTTTGATGTCATGAACACCATTTCATATCACATGAAGGGTTTTTGTTGGGGAAAAAATGAAAAATTGTGAATGAAAGACTCTTACAGTGGTGATGGTGAGTTTTAGTTTTAATGTGAATTGTGATATTTGTATTGATGTTGAAAGTTTTTTGTAGTTATCTGTTGGGGATTCTGAGGGGGTTTTAGCCAAAGCGTTGAAGTGATTGTGTAGTAAAATTTGAAGGGAAATAGCAGTAGTTTCATTATATTTTGCTAATTTATGATACTGTACCAGTGAATTCCGTTGCCTGTAGTTGCGTTTATCTGACTCTTATAAGATTTATAGTCTATAACAAGTATATCTTGCATGGCTATTGGATGAAATAACTATACCTATTAACGGCCCAAATTTGGACTGTCCCGAGTTTCTTTCTTCTTCTTTCCTTTTTTTCTTTTTCTTTTTTTTTTCTTTGAAATTGATGCGATGAGAGTACATTTCAGTTGCGATTTCGCTAGCCTAACTAAAGTTCATAGTGTAAACTTCCAAGTCACTTCTGTTGCTGTTTTCCGGTATAGATGTAAGATGGCTTAGTTTGCTCGTTGTAATTTGTGTTGCTAACTAAGTGCATGCTGTCATTGGGTGGGTAGTAGTACATTTTCTACAGTTCTACCACGCGATAAATCCTTGAGAAACGTTTTGTTTGTTACACTGAGTTAAGAGTTTCTCTTTGCGTTTTTTTCTTTAATTTGCAGATTACAGGTTACAAAGTATTGCGGGTACTTACCGTATAATGTCTGGGCTTTCTGGGTTCCGTGCACTTGCTCCAAAGACCAAGAATCTGGTTGTTGCTGGAGGCCTTTCAGCTTTTGTATTTGGAGTGTATTTCTACACAATGAGAGCCGTTGGGGGTACAGATGAACTTCAGATTGCTATCGACAAATTTGAGGCCCAGAAAAATAGGAATGAGCCAGAAGCCACGTTGGCACCTAAAGCTTAATCGCATTCAGCTAGAGACACAAACTATGTAAATTTGTTGCGAGTTGGTTTTCCTAAATACTTGGCCGTTATAATATATATGGAGCCGTTTTCTTGATTTTTCAGAATAAAGTCGGGATTGATGTTTTTTGTTGTACTTGAAAGTGTCGTATCTATGTTAACAAATTCGAACTTTTGCAATTGTGACTAATGAATCGGTGGTGCACGTATTTTTGGTTTAAGGAATATTTCAAAGGGAATCATATAAGTTTATATTACTTGAAAGTGTGAAAGATTGAATGATATACTCTTCTGTTTGTGCTCTCTTAAGCTCCAATTGTGGAGAAGTTTTCATTAAATCTTTTGAATCATCATGTGCAAAATTTGTGGGGGCTTTTTGTTGAATTTTCATTGATCATTTAGTTGAAGCAACTCCACAAAAGCCTACTAATATGTTTGAGGAAGAACCAATAAATTCATATATCCTTGCAAAACTAATACATTTCAAAAGAAAATCTACAGAGTCATCCAAAAATTTTTGTACGGGACACATGCCCAATGTGCATTTATTGCAGGACACATGTCAGTACACCATTGTGAATAACTATGAATGACTTCATAAGTCGAGTCGTCCGATAGCTGCATAGCAAAACTGTACATTTCAAATATGTTAAGCGAACTTAATGATTAGACACTCATACAAGAATTTGTGTACAAATAATGGTTTCCACCTAATAAAAGAAATGCACATTTGAGTAAATGGGATCTGTCATTAAAATTTCCTTAATCTCACTCTAAAGGCTCAAAAATGTTTAAATTCTTAAAATTTTCATATTGGACTTACCTAACTATTTTTGTTGTATAAGCATAATAAATATATGCCCTGTTTTCTATATCTTACAGGTCACCTGAACTCCACTTAAAAAGGGTAGCAAAATTGCTTCTTTATTTCCTGTGAAAGTTAATGCCGAACTGTTGATGCATTTCACATTATGAACATACCAAAGATTTGATCTCAAGTCATTACAACTCAGGGGCTATTGATATCATATAGTAAACAAATATATTCTTAAAGATTATCAATTTTATAAGAACAAAACATGAAAGAACAGTCGATTTATGTATGCTTCATGGCGATTTACTCTCTAATCTTCGAGTGCCAAATATGCCTTCAATTTTCCAGCAACATGTGGCATCATATTAATGCTGTCCTGAACAGAAAGTTCAACGCACGACTCCAAATCCTTCATGGAATAGTTGCTATTCGGCTGGAGCTTGGCTGATTCATATTTGTCTTGGCAAACTGTGAGAGACCTTCTTAGTTTTTCCTGTGAGTCAAAGAGTAAATTGGTTGATAACTAGTTTTATCAGATAATAATAATAATAATAATAATCATGTGTCGCATGTGAAGAAGAATAAGAAAAATCATATATATGTTGCCAGAATTTATGTATATTAACATCTATCAAGAACTGTCTGAGATATACTTTGGAATTACGAGCTGTGGCATTATTATGTTGTTCATATAAATTGATATCGTAAAATTATATATGTTGAGCAAAACCAGGATTTATCAAATAGAATTACAAAAAAAATGAAACCTTGATCAGAGAAAGATATAGGAAGAACAGACAATATCAATATAGCATTCCCTAAAGAGAAAAAATATACTATACACAAACATAATCTTTTCGTCCAGAACTCAATGTATTCTTAACCTTCTTACGATATTTATTGGAGTTTCATATACTGCATATATAACTTTGAAAAATGCTACAAGTACATAATAAATGTATATCGTGGTGTACATAACACTCACATGGAGTGGGGTCCACTTGATTTATTTTTGGTGGGTCCACTCATTGTGGGTGTTATGTACACTCTGTACAAATTTATGTACCTATAGCATTTCTCTATAACTTTATATATTTTTTTCCAGAACGATCTTTACTTCCTGTAATGCATGCCAAATCCAATTTTCCTTTTCCATTTTTCCATCTTTAATCTTTATCACGGATCATTAAGCATAAGATTAACCAACTCCTTTCACTTAAACGGTAAGCTAAAACCAATGAAGCAAAATTCTATATCTATATGCTTCCAGAAACGGTAGTAGCTCCATACGCTTATACAACACGAAATCCACATATTATCGTAATTACTATTAGATAATAATCAATCATCATTTCAGTATGAGCCATCCTGGATGGATAACGGTTTCAATATATCATATAAAAATCATGATCTATGTCAATGAAGTCAAACTTGGACAAGAATATCTCGAATCAGAAAGGAGTTTAGACTATCTCCTCAACATTGATTTTACTTCTGATAAATGATACATTGTAATCATTCATAAATGCAAGAATAATAGAAAGGCTTCGAAAATAATGACAAGACATATCGAATGGGAAAAAAGTAAACACATGATCGAGAGAAACTAAACAAAACCAAAATGGCGACAAACATAACAAGCCCAACATACACATTATGCTACATAAAAATAAAATGTCAGTCACTAATAAGGGGAGTATAGTACCTCATAACTACAAATTGTGCTCTAATGCCAGTATA